CGAGGGTTACCTTCAGGGGTCTAGGCGTAGTCGGGAGATTGGTAGGGGCTACAGGTTTACGTGGAGCGCTTGGGGGGTGGGGAGGGATTTCGGTCTCGGACGGGCTGGGATCGGAGTCGGGTGGCAATGGGGTCGAGGTCACGGGGGTTGGTAAGGGGAACTGGGGGAGATTTCCGGGGGCGTCCTCGTCTCCTGGCTGCTGGCTGGGGTGATCGCTGACCGTTGAGGGGGGTGGTGGTGGCGTCAGCGTCCTGGGGGTCGGAGTGGCTGACCTCTGGAGCTCCCTGGTCCTGAGGGTGGCCTGCCTCTCCCTCTCGGTTTCCTCTCGAGCGGCCCACAGCATCTCCTGCNGGTGGGTGCACCGGGAGTCCTTCTAGTGGGGGAGGATGTGCTGGCAGGGAACTTGGCGGAAGATGAGCAGGGGCTAGGGGAGAGTTTCGGGACGGTGTGAAGCTCGAGGGTTACCTTCAGGGGTCTAGGCGTAGTCGGGAGATTGGTAGGGGCTACAGGTTTACGTGGAGCGCTTGGGGGGTGGGGAGGGATTTCGGTCTCGGACGGGCTGGGATCGGAGTCGGGTGGCAATGGGGTCGAGGTCACGGGGGTTGGTAAGGGGAACTGGGGGAGATTTCCGGGGGCGTCCTCGTCTGCTGGCTGCTGGCTGAGGTGGTCGCTGACCGTTGAGGGGGGTGGTGGTGGCGTCAGCGTCCTGGCGGTCGGAGTGGCTGACCTCTGGAGCTCCCTGGTCCTGAGGGTGGCCTGCCTCTCCCTCTCGGTTTCCTCTCGAGCGGCCCACAGCATCTCCTGCTGCAACATCCATTGGGGGCTCCTGGGTGGTTCCGAAGGAACTGTTTCTCCTCGTGGCACCTGATAGGGTGGTCTGCCGAAGGAGATCCTCCGGTACATCGTTGTCGTTACCTAGGGAGGTTCGAGGGTGAAAAGGTCTAAGGTCAGAAATGTGAATTTTACGGGAGCNTCTGCCGAAGGAGATCCTCCGGTACATCGTTGTCGTTATCTAGGGAGGGTCGAGGGTGAAAAGGTCTAAGGTCAGAAATGTGAATTTTACGGGAGCGGTTGCCATTAGGGTCTTCTAGGTCATACATTATGGGGGAGATGACATTGACAATGATATACGGTCCGTCAAATTTAGGGGCTAATTTTGCGGTAAAATGGGTGGCTGCTTGGGATAGGGGTCTATATTTTTTTAAGACTAGGTCTCCGACGGCAAACGGTTGGTCGGACCGGTTTTTGTCATAATATTCGGCCTGGCGGGCGAATGCTTC